CCAGTCACGACGTAACAGGCCAGTAACACGGCATCGGCCCACGAACAAGAGACATCATGTTGTAGACGCTCCTTCCAAAACTTCTTCTGGGGTCTAGAGAGTGATGATCCCAATAGTGGTGTTTCCTCGTCTCTCACAGCGGTGTTGCGAACACCGCCATCTACCACCCTTACCATGACACTACCGATGGCGTACTTGTCCCCTGTCTCTTGAATTAAGAAAACGTCTGGAAGCGCCAATTAGAGTCAAGTTATCAAATTTATAGGCTTGATTGAGTGAAATAGCTATAGTTGAGGAAGAAGTTTGAGAGGAAGCGAAGTTGAAAGAAAGATTTGGTGCTAAAGACCCCTATGACGCCAGCCGCGCCAAACGATATCCACTTACGGTTCCAAGAAAACCGCCGAGATAATCCCAATTGATGGTTACAAACAGTGGATTTAACGGCAGATGGGACGTGAAAAGTTCATATCAGTCAATTACCGATATTGTTCACGCGAGATGTGAGTTTTAGCCCGCTGTTGTAAGTCAAATTTGCAGCGTCGTTTTTCACGAAATACCGCCCAAGACAATGACGGCATCACCGAGAGTAGTTGATTAGACCAAAGTCAAACCATTTCCTTAAATTTCTGAGCATAACATGGAAGATTCCGAGAGTAGAGAGCAATTCCATCCAATCGTATATTCGCAAATTCTTAAGCTTCAAGCTGGGGAGAGATAGTCATTCACATCCGTAGTTAGTTAATGAGTAGCTTTTTAGTCAACTCTTTCACTCATGATTTCGAGTATCATTTCTTGCGATTCCAAGTATTCATGTCAAGTATAAACAAAGCCTCCATGGCGTATCTTGTATATGAAACGCGGGCTGTTAAAGGTAAAGTGCTATATACAAGAACGAATAATTGCCAGGCACGCAGGCGATTTTATGTCCTGCCAATGATAATTGATCCAGCCACTAGTACCCAGGGGTAGCAGTAGCAGTGACATAGACAGTCTGAGTAAAAGTCTTAGCCACACACTCCTTCTTGGAAAAAGGGGAGCTGGGACGACGGGTATGAGTGCGGGTTCGAGTGCGGGTGCGGCGGCCAGAAGGCTTGTTAACCTTGGTAGGTGCCTGAGTGGTAACAGGAGAGTTACCTGAGGCTTCCTCGTTGCAGTCATCTTCACCGTCAGCGGAGTTGGGAATAGTCTCAACAGGGGCAGCGCTCTCGGTAGGGGCCTGGGTTGCAACAGGGGCGTTGCCGGATTCCTGCTCATCACAGTCATCCTCACTATTGGTGGGCTTCGAAGCAGTAGGGGCGGCCTTTGTAGGAGCCTCAGTGGTAGCAGGTGCGTCATCACCATCCGTGGGGGTATCGGTCTCTCCAGTCTCGGGGACAGTGGGAGCAGAGGGCTTGATCACAACTGAGGAAGGCTTCTCAGCGGCAGCAGACGAACTGACCTCAGTCGGTGCGGAGAGAACATCAGTCACAGAGCCAGGGACTGTAGCAAAAGAGGGACGGGGCGCACCCTCAGGGACGGTAGATTCTCCAGAGGAACCCTCAGCAGCGGCAGCAGACTCAACAGTCGAAGGCTTGGCAGCACCAGTATTGGGGGTCTTGGTAGCAGAAGCCTGAGAAATAGCAGTAGAAGCCTTAGTGGTAGATCCAGACCCGGATCCAGAGCCGCTGCCGTTGGAGATACAAGCGAAGGAGATCTTCTTGACATCAGCAGCCTGAGTAGGGCCACTGAGAGACCAAGCCATGTTGACATAGGGCCAGCAGATACGGCCATCAGACATAGTGACCATGTCACCAGCAACGTAGGTATCATCAGAAGTAATGGCAGAGCCAAGCTTCTTGCCCTTGCTGTCGACAGCCTGGAACTTGGTACCAGCAAACTTACCCTTGCATCCCATGGCCTCGAACTCGCAGACGGGGTTAGAGATCTCCTCCCAGGTGACAAGAGCAGTGGAAGCATCGAAGGTAGCAACGTGAGCGTTGGAGCAGTCATTGGCACCATCAGTCACCCAGTTGACTTGGCTATCACCATCCTGGGCACCGACCTTTGAGGAAGCCTGCTCGCCAATGAGGGTCTTCTTGTCAGAGAAAAGAGCAATGGCAACGTTGCGGTTGTTGGTACGGTTCTCAGCGTGAGTGTAACCCTCACCCATCCAGTCGTTGAGAGTAAGATCGATAGCGCCACGAGAAACCCAGGAGAAGATGTAAGAGTCAGCACCAATGAAACGAGCAAGAGAGCTGTAAGAGCCACTCATTCCACCCATGGGCTCGTTACTCGCACCGTTGATGACGTGCTCGTTGGAGACCTTGACACCGTTGTTGCTCATGCCCTGAGTCTCGGTGTTCAACCAGATAGCACCCTGATCTTCAGAGCAGAGGGAAGCGAAAGGAGGCTCATCGGCGGCTTCGAAGGCGATACCGGTGTTGTGGGAGCAGCCCCAAGACGAAGAGGCGCCCTGGATCTCCTCGACCTTACCCTCAGGGGTGATGTAGCGAATGGCATCACCAAAGTGACCGGAAGCATCGCCACTGTAAGAGGTGACAACGATATAGGCGGCATAGTAGCCAGCCTTCTCAGAGAAGACAAGATCACCGTTGATATCAGGAGAAGCAAGCGCATTTCCTGAGAAGCCAGAGCCACCAAGGAGGGTTCGGAAAGCCTGCTTGCCATTGGTGTACTTGTAGATCACAGGGAGAGGATCCTTAGACTCCCCAGAGACAACCTCGTTGGTCAGAAGAGCAAAACCATCGTTGTGGGCAACGAGACCACCAGCCTCCTTACCGTCCTTAACAGTAACGGGAGTTCCAACGGCAGCAAAAGTCTTGGGGTCAACACCCTGGATGTGGACACCGGTGCCGCTAGCATCGAGGTAAGCCAAGAAAGCAGTCTTTCCATCAGGAGATACGGCAAAGGGAGTTCGGCGATGGTGAGGGAGACCAGTCCAGTAAGCTTCCTTGACGGGGTTGAAAGAGGCACCCAAAGTGAGGGTATCGACGTGGTTCTCGAGCGAGGAGGAGGTGAGTTGGGCAGCAGCCAGCGCCAGGCCGGCAGCGAGAGTAAGAAGACGAGACATTGCGATGTTGGCTCAGATGTCAAGGAACGAATGTATTCGGTTGGAATAGTGTACGAAAAAGAACGTATGTAGTCAGAATGGTAATGAATGAATAGAGTAAAAGAACGGAAAGAGGACTAGACCCCAGGTCAGTTATCCAAGCCAGCAGTGAATGAAGCTATCGTTTCTCTGTGTTCTATCCAAAATCGAGAGCAGCATCTCTTATAAGTGTATAAGACAGACCCATGCATTCTACCCCAGCACAATAAACCAAGCTAAACATGTTTAAAGACGAGCTGAGAGCGGTGGAAAAACTCCAGAACCATCAGTCCGTATGATGGCCACTCATAGATGGTGAACGGATGATGGAACATCAAACAGGCACTGATTGAGGGGTGACCAAGCAAGCACAGCACAGGCTTTGTGTTTCAAACCCCTGGTGAAGAAACTAGTGTCGAGGGAAAGTTACCTAAAGTTGCTGAGTTGGGGAATAAAGCTCCTAATGAATCCTTGTCAGGTCTCGTGTCTCAGTGGGTTGGTGAAACTTAGGGTATAAAGTGAAGGGGCTGTGGCCCTTTGTCTTATGTGATGGTCAAGATGATCTTCGGCAGTTGTCAGCCCTGTGAGAGACTCAATCGACACTGACTACACGTGGGATGAGAACATGACTATGGCCAAGTCGAATCAATATTCATTGAACATTGTAATAAATTGAAGAACCAGGAGAGTTGTATTGCAGGAGACAATGCCCGTTGTCAAGAGCTGACATGCTGGGAGACAGTGTTTGAAGACCCGAGGAAAGTAGAAGCTATACGCGGATTTGAGTGTCACCCTTGCTCCTTGGTCCGTTTCTCGGAATTTGCCATGGACGTTGTATCCTTTCCTCGCCTAGCCTTATTTAACAAGCGGCCCAGCTCCAGTATTTCCCATCGCCATGGTTTCAGAATCCAAGAACTGTGAGAGCAGCCAATAGTGGGCAGATCTGACAAAAACTCCCCGAGAGAGAAGCAAAAGGATCGTCGCGAATGAACAGCAAAACAGATGAAAGGCACGATACAGGGGTAATTGACTAGCGATCTATTCCCGGGCGCCTATCACTGACTTGCATTGCATTACATTGCATTCTGTAAGGTAAGACAAGACAAGACAAGACAAGACAGTTGTCAGAACTACCTTAGCGCCCGATGTGACATTTTGTTAGTTCAACCAACTCAAAGAGTGTGCAACGGATGCTTCGGCCTCGGAGCGTTACGCAGGGGGTTAAACGGGCAATATTAAACATCCGATGCGAGATGGTCTATGAAGGAATGGAAATTGGCAGATGGATCCATCTGATATTTATCATGGGTCGAGAACTGAGGCCGCCAAATATTAATACCCGCCGATAGAACTACAGTATGTATTTTACTACTAGCGAGGGATCTATTTTAGGACTGCCGAGGTTGAGGATTTCATTCTAGAACATCATCATCAATCTCTAATGATAGCCCCATACCTCACAAGCCTCTGCTCTCTGGCATCAGTGAATCAGTGGGTTGATTGTAGGAATATTCCCATTAAATAAAATGTCTAGGCCTCACGTGCTGTAGTCTCCCCTAAAACACCCCTGAATATCGACCGTCTGCGCAGAAAAGACTAGGCCTAGTTCGGCGACTCGCCTCAAGCCCCCCCGCGTTGTTATTGATTCTCTTCTCGTATCGTGCGTGATGAGAAAACGAGGCTGAGCCCATCCATTCCAATCCCATCATTCAATAGGGGCACTTTCACTACCTATAGAGGCATCAACTAAGTTACCTTTACTTGCACATTCTCATTCTCGCACTCATTTATTTCCCTCATTTATATCTAACAGTCTAACCACGGTATCTCCTTATCTCTTCCATAACGTCATCGTCAGCATCAGTATCAGTTTCTGCCTTGAGCTGGGCATCGGCTCACTTGCATCATCAACATGATGCTCAAATATCTCACCAAGCCTACGAGGAAGAATATTTCCGACGCTCTTCTCATCTTGGGTGTAATTGGCAGTGTTATTTCAGTCATTTTGGCGTCTATTGTGTTTATTGCCGGCACCACCATTATTCGTGGTGATCCTGATCATCTTCTATGGAAGCCATTAGCCTTGGTCTCGGTATGTTCACCCATAACCACCCACTTCTCATATTCTTGATATTTCAGGAAATTTTGATATCAATATATTTTTCCGGCTCTTCCGACTAACAAATTACCAGTTTGAAGGCATTATTCCCAACAATGATACCTCTCATTTCTTGGTGCACCTAAACTGGTTCGCCAGTTCCTTCGGATGGGAACATCCCACAGCCCCCAAGGGTATTCCAAAAGTTGGAATCACATCCTCGGGACTACGATATCACTCAAATATCGTCAATGATCTTAACCAGATTGCCACAGAGCTTCGACTACCAGAAGACACCTTCAACTGCCCCAAACCGGGCCCGTATGAAGATCCATGTGGCAACATCTTCTTTGAAGCTTGGCGAAGCTACATGGCCAGTGGTGGGCTTCCGATCAGCAGCTGGATCGTCTGGATCAATATCTATATCGCTCTGGTATTCAGTATCATGGACATTCTGCGAGAGTGGGTTATTCCCAACAGACCTCACTGGATGAAGTGTCGCTGCATCATCGGCAAGCGATGGTGTCCTCTCCCCAAAGGCAGCAAGGAGGAAATCGAGCAATTCGACGACTACGTCTGGGACAAGGTCCGGCTCACCTACTGGGCCATTTCGGCTGCTTACTTTGGCATCGCTGCCGGCCACACATGTATCAACTCAGTTTTCTTTGTTCGTTACCTGGGGTATTTCGAGGAGCGTTTGCCAGATGGAATCAGCATGCACGGGAGACGACGCCTGGCTTCCGAGATCTTGCTCTGGGTGGCTTTTGGCATCAAGACCTTCGGTGCGTTGTGCATGGCTGTGAGGTGGAAGCTGAGCAGAAGGCCAAAGGGCTGGCTGGATGGCCAGAGTCTCGGTCGCCTTGAGAGGACCAAGCCAAATGGTGCAGATGGAGGAAAATACACAGATTAGAGCGTTAGTGATATAAAGCGAGTGCTATACTTGGCAATTGGCAATAATAGACTGCTCCGGCAAAAGCGTTTGATTTGAATCTGATGTTCATGAACCTCATTCTGGCTCAAATAATAATGCCCGGATTTGTCATATGAAGTGCACCCCGCAGATAGCAAGGTCCACCAAAATACCCTAGCAGTGGTTGGATAGTTCGCATACGAGAGATATAACTACCGCCGTTAGGTGCTGCTTTAGCTTGGACTCTATCTTGAGGCGGGGAAGTTGATTGATTGTTGGATTCACTGACTTGCGGGACCGGGTGAGAGCCGGTTTACTCTGGCCGGCTGGGTCATATAAATGAGGACCGAGTGAATAACTGACAACGGCTCTGCCACTTCGTACATCTCTATCTATCTTAATAAAGGCATCAACTCTATTGTATTCCGCTCATCAAGTGCAAATAAGCATAATGCTCTCATCAAAATCTTTCCATGCAGCGCCTCTAAAGCGAGTGATCTCCAGGCAGGCCTCACTTTCATTCAGCAGCTCAGCCTCTAGACCCCGTCTTATTCTCCCCTCACAGAAACTCACAACCAAACCTTATTCGAAATTCCAACCTTCTCTTCGGTCCGCATTCTTCGCAACAAGCTCTGAAGCTTCGGCTGCAGCTCCCGAAGAGCCAGTCAACCAGAACTTTGCAGCTGTTGCAACAGGCGGAATCCCATATCCTGGAATTCCCAGGATCGAGGACCCTTATCAAAAGCGACAATGGCAACTGGAGCATATGGCTGGTGCCTTTCGCGTGTTTGCCCGTATGGGATTCACTGAGGGTGCTGCGGGACATATCAGTGTGAGAGATCCTGTTGATCCTAGTACCTTTTGGATTAACCCGTGAGTCCCATTCTTCGCTTTGGTGGAGTTAAGTTGACAAGATCAGCATGGGTGTTCACTTCGGAATGCTTGAGGCAGGCCATATGGTTCATATCAATGAAGACGGTCAAGTCATCGGTGGTAACCGAGTCGCCGTCAACGCAGCTGGTTTTACTATCCACGCTGCTATTCATAAAGCCAGGCCAGATGTAGACGCTGCATGCCACGCTCACTCCAAGTATGGAAAGGCTTGGTCGACATTTGGAAAGCCCCTTGAGATGATAAGTCAAGATGCTTGCATCTTCTATAATGACCACAGCGTGTACTCCGACTTTGGAGGTGTTGTCTTTGAAGACGATGAAGGTGCTCGTATTGCCAAAGCACTCGGTCCGAAGAATCGATCCGTCATTCTGCAGAACCATGGGCTGTTGACGGCAGGTAAAACAGTGGACGAAGCGGCGTATTTGTTCTCCCTCATGGAGAGGACATGTGAGATACAGCTCTTGGTGGAAAGTGCTGGACTGCCGAGACAGATTGTTGGTGATGAAGAGGCTGAGTACACTTATCGATACAATTCGGACCCTGTGAGTTATCGTTCTATGGATGGTTATGGAAATAGTTGACTGACATGTTGAATAGGAGGCGTTGTATACAGAGTTCCAGCCTGACTTCGAATACGAGGTTTGGAAGTCTAATGGTAAGCTAAAATCGGGCGTCAACTGAGGTGGGATACCCTGGTGATGGTGCTTTAAAATGAGAAGCGTTAGTATAAAACTGTCATTTCAGAATCCCTTGTCTTCAAGCTCCTTAGATGCAGCTATCGTGTAATTCTCGTTGGTTTGCTAGACTCTATAGCTAGCCTTCCTTACGACAAAACGTCTCTTTCATACACTCGCAGTCATCACCTAAAGCAACGTCTTTCTCCACCACTTCTCTTCCTCCTCAAGCCACAGCCTCACGTTCTTCGGCTGTCCAAATCCATGACCCTCTTCAGGTACCACGATAAGCTCAACCTCACCCCCTGCCTTCTCAATAGCATTGGCCATCTCTTTTGCCTGGTCCAAAGGCGTGATCTTATCGCTGCCTCCGTGCAAGAGCAGCAGTGGGGCTGTGATCTTTTGGGCTTCGAACAAGGGACTTCTCTCACGGCAGATTCTGTCCTTTTCACTCTTGTCAACCCCTTTCTGTAACACTAGGTGATCTGTGTAGTCTGATTCCAACTTGTGGGTTGAGTCATCCAGGCGTTTGATGTCGCTTACACCCGAGAGACATACACCGCCAGCGAAGGTGCTCGGGTGACGGGTCAAGCTTCTAAGGGTGTTGTAACCTCCTGCGCTTACACCAGTGATTCCTACTCCACCAGACTTGACCACTCCTTCGGATGTCAAATTATCTGCGAATTCCGCTGCGTCGTCTGAGTCCACTAAGCCCCAGTTCCCCCACAGAGCTTCCCGATATTTACGCCCATGAGCGCTTGATCCTTTGTAGTTGAAAGCAAGGACTGCAAATCCTCTCGAGGTGAAATATTGTGTTCTTGGGGCAAGGCCAGGGCCAGTATAGGACGTTGGCCCTCCGTGACTTGTCATGATCAGAGGAGGTAGATCCCCTTCTGGTGCCTGGAAGTCCGGGTTGTGCGGGAGCCACAAGAACCCATACAATTCTCTTTCGGGTTGGCCCTTTGAGTGGATTTTCTTCAAGATAGGCTTGGAGCAGAATTCGCTGGGAAGCCCATCATCTGTAGAGCTCCGGACTTGGGTGATCTGACCTGAGCCTTCGGTGTCAATTCGGTAGAGCGCTTTAGCATTAGTCTCTCCGGACCCAACAATGAGAACTGAAGTATTGCTCAGGCGTGCAACTGCGTCCAGCTGGACTTCTGTAAGCCTCTGAGAATCGCCGATATCTTTCCAATCCCCAGACTCTAGATCGATTAGAATCACCCTAGATGTTCCCAGAATGTAGGGAGAAGCGACAAGATGTCGATCAGACAGGGGCACATAGGTATGACTATCTCATTTAGCGGGGTTCTCGTGATGTCCTCGGGGTTCTTACCTTCCCTGAAACCATCGAAGTTCTCCAAACTCCGCATTGGCGATGCCATCGACTTTGATCTCGACATGCTCATCACTACCGGGAAGAATACGGTACAGGCGACGATACTCTCCGACCTCTTTATTTAAGAATAGAGATCCATCTGGGCCCCATCTAGGCTCTGCAACTCCCTCACGATCCTTTCCTGCAATAAGGCTAATGTCTGATATAGAGCCGTCGTTCCATGTCGCAGTATACAGCCTCGCAGAGTCAAAAGGCAGTTCAGGATGATTCCACTCCAGCCACGCAAGCTTTGAACCATCCGGACTGAAAGATGGTTCGTAGTAGAAGTCAGCAGTGTCAAGGATCCGCTTCACCTCGGTTGTTTCAGTGTTGATTGCCACGATATAGTTGCGAACTCCATCAGGAGTGTCATGTTCATGGTCTTCCTGGTTGGCCAGAACCCATGGCGACGTCAAGTTTGCTTCGAAGTTTGAGTATCTCAGGTTTGGGTGACCAGTCAGTTCTGAAACTTCCTTGCTGTCTGGGTTCAGTATATGAACCGTATCGCCCTTGTTGGAGAAGATGATACGATCGTCTGGGAGAACGGCGTATGTTGAACCGCCATACTCATACACGCTGTTCTTGGCACTGTATTCGGATGGAAGAATATCTTTGATAGTGTCTTTCAGGATCTCAACAATGGTTGTGCTTCCGTCTTCACGGCTTTCTGTGTAGAAAGCTCTACCAGATTTGGGCTGTACATGTCAACAGGTGCTGAAATATTTAGTGTCCGAATGCTTACATACATTGGCTCTAGGTGAGGAGAGTCTTCTATTTTTAGAGACAATGGAGTCGACTGAAATTGGTGACTCCCAGTCTCCATATGGAGCAGTCTTCTTGGTGGTGGTGGTGCTGGTGGTGCCCGACATGGTGGTTGTTGATGTTCAAGTTTGGTTACAAAGTGCGGGGTGAGAGAGGACACAAGTGTAAGACGGGGCCTTCGGCATTTAATGAACAGCAGTCTCAACCCTATCAGGTATCTATCTGTCTTCATTAATACGTTTTGGTCTCAATAAAGTAAGCTCATCTATTCATTTATTGAGACACATGCCGCGGTAATAGGGAAGTCTCTGAGAGGCGCCTCGATCTTCCACCATAATCAGTTTGAACTTGAGAAACATAGTTCACCTCGCACCTTGATGAACAGCGCCAGCCATGGCATATTACCTCTCATACCCGCAATTCCTAAGGATCTTCGATTCATTTCTCTTATGAGCTGAGCAAGAGTGACTTATTGTGTATTTATGTACTCTGGTTGCCGTTCGTGTAAGGATGGTGATAAATGAGTGAAATCTTTACTGCTCCAACACCTACAGAACACCATCATCAAAGAAATGGTTTGAGGATGGCCCTCAAGCTCGTGTCAGGCTTCCCATTCTCACAAGTTTGGAGGGAGCTGATGCGGTGGCCACTAATCTTGGTGTGTCTTTGTGAGAAGATCAACAATTCACATGCATGTCCGGAGAGATATTTAGTAGGATTCTTCTATTATGTCTTCAAGGCGCTCATATTGAGCTCCTGAATAAGTCAAGCATTCATTAGGTATGATGCTCAAGAATAACATCAGATAGCATAAAATAAACACCCCAAACTCCTTGATGCAACAGTAGAATCAACAATCAAGAGATAACCCATCTATTGTAACATACCTCTCTATCGTACACCCTCACAACTTACCATGTCGTTACAGCAAACTCGTGGCGTCCCTGACAGCCGGCCGCCAGGAACAGCATGCAGGTACGCTTCGATCCCGATCAACAATCGTCGACAATCCCATCGAGAACAAGCTTTGTGTACGTCATTAGCCCACGTGGTAGTATATATCACTCTTTCAAAAAGGTCTGTGCCTCGTGATGGTTGCGCCGTCGCATGTCAACACCAAAGCCACATGACCCACGTTTTGTGATACGGGTAGAACGGTCACGTCAACTGCTGCAGGTACATCAGGCGCAGGAACGTACGCACTTGGCTGTTCTAAAAGTAGGGCATTTTCACTTGAAAATGACCACCAGAGCCTCTCTTCCAAGGCATTGTATAAGAGTGACCATGTCGCGAGCGACTGTGGAGAGAAGTGATTAAGAAAGGATTAAAAGTCATCAGATACAGGTATCTATCGCTTGCGTCAAATATATACAAAGCACCCTGCCTCCCCAAACGCTAGTCAAGCCGTTTCCTAAACGTCGGCCTTTTCCTTTGCTCATGCATCGGTTTCTGAATTTTGCTCATCGACTCCTCAGGACTTCGGCGGATGTCCTTCAGACTTGAGCCTTCGCGGCGGTAGGGGTGGTGGCTTCGTGGAGAGGGGGAGGTTGAACGACGAGGAGAAGGTATTCTCCATGCCGCAACGGACTTGTACTCAATATAGCAGGGCGCGATAGACTCCTGTCGGGGAGTCGGTGTGTCATCGAAATTTGGGGTATCGTCATAGAAATCGCAACCGTCGCTAGCATCTTCAGGAAATTGAGTAGTAGGAAAATCATCCTCCTCCTCTAGATCATCCTCATACTTGTCATTGGATTGTTCCCCGTCATCCATTACGTCCAGTGACGACTGGCTCTCTTCGCAATCAGAATCCGAGGCGACAGCAAAGTCGCCGTCATCGAACTGCGAGGTCTCATCTTCGTCGTGAACAAGTGATCTGGTCAAGTCAGAGATAGCTGCAGCTGTCTCGGAACCAGAAAACGACATGGAGCGTGAAGGGGGGGTGGAGTATTCGTGCGACTCCAAGGAAGTAGGAGAAGAAACAGAAGACTCATCGCCGTGCGCTGCCTCGGAATGGGGGGGGGAGGGGGGCGCTTGAACAACAGACGATGATCGAATGTCGGTATGAATCGAGAGGGGACCCTTTGTCAAGATAGGTTCATCATCAAAGAAACTAGAGACATCATCGACGCTGCTGGCCGTGGTGCTCTCGGTCTTGACGCTGTTGGTCTCAGAGAAGGAGGACAAGGAAGCAATAGAAATAGCATCATGATCACGATCGTTGTGATCAAGATATTGTTCGGGTAGGTAGCTTGCAAAATAACGGACGATAGAGTCGAAAGACTTGGTCCGGAAGAGTTGAAGGGCGTACTGCCAATGTTCGGAATCCATCAACTTGGGGTTGGCGATAATCTCAACAGCGAGAGATTCGAGAGACTCGTGAAGTTCGTGAATCCGCTGTTGCTTTCGCTCATCCAGCAAGCGATGGAAATCGTCGATGGTATCGGCATCGCGGGAAATTTCGTAAACGTCGTGATGGAAGGCTTCGGGGTCTTGGAGGTTAAAGGTAAAGGTGTTGTATTTTTCGTGGAGGGTATGAAAGAGGTCATCCCTCTTCATGCCGAATTTCCAGGCCGGCCATGACCAGCCCGGATCGTCCATGTCGAGGTCACAGTCGATAGAAGTAGGTAAATTATGGTGGTGGAATGGTTGTGGTATAGAAGAGAGTGTCCGGTAAGAGTGTCCAGGTATCCGTGGGTCGAGAGCTCGTGGGAGCTGCGGAATCTATTTCATGTCCATGGCGTCAAAATCCTCAAAGGTGCTCAGAAGTCAAAAAATGAAGACTACTCTGAACTGATGTGCAAAAAGCGTGTTTGTTGGGCTCTTCTGGGACTCTTCGGGCGGGTTTGGATTTTGGGTTATGGGAGATGATCGTGGGTGTTTTGGAGGCGGGCGTGACGAGAAACAGAATTCGGCAGGTTTTGGGGGGCAAGAGCCATACCCATATCTCAGGGTGCGCTTGGCCCCCAGCAACCCAAAGACCACGAGTGCGGCCTGAGATGCCTGAGGCAGACACGATAAGGGGCTACGATTGGCTGTCATCCCTTCAAAGACGGAGACACGAGACGCGCCTGCATAATTAGCGTCCAATGACGATCTTTTCTCGGCGGTAAGTGGAGCCACCTCATGCAATCTCTTGAACTAGGCAACGCTAGTGACACGGTGGCGTCCATTGGGGGCCATTTGCAGCCCACCCTTTGATGCTTCTTTCGTGCAATTGCGGCAGATTTTGTTTGGGCAGTTCCGACGCCGGCCGCTTCCAATCGATTCCATCATTAATGAAGGATTCACACAAACACAAAACACCAGGCATGTCGATATTCAATATTGCAATGATTTCTATAAACTCGTCAAACCTTTCGTAGTGTTATCTTTTCAGTAATGAATAGCATTGATGACTGTTGAGATATTGGCCACGTAAACACTCATTGACCAAGCCTGACCTGTCACGAGGACTGTCATCAGAGGCAACTTCCATTTTAGTCTAAAGTCATGATCACTCACCGAAACTCATTATGAGACAACAACCTACTGACCTCTGGAGAATTGTCTTTGATGCCTAATATCGTGACAAACTCACGTTATCTCGTAAACTCTATCGTCTGCTTTATATAGCCTGCTTTTCCCCAAATCTCGATGGTTATTCAGTCATGCTGAAATTGGTCTGCTTGATATCAGCTTCAGTGTCGTCATAGTAAGATCCGCTGAGCCATGTAAGATGCCAGATGCTTCTATGCTCGCCTTTTGATTGACAACGTGCAGCCGAAGGCCTCATCAGCAATCAATTCGAGTGAATTACCCATCATCCTTTTTGTCGTTTGAGCGAACTATTGGATCTCATAGTGAACAGAGATCTATATGAAGACATCTCCAATGGATAATATCATCTGGCCATCGGGGTAATTATCCCGGACTGACTTCCTAGGAAGTCAGTCTTAGGTGAGATGACCCTGCACAGCCACAGAGCGTTGGGTTGTGGCAGCGAGTGTGGCAGTGGATGTGTCCTCAACTGTGTCAAGTCAAATCTGCCTTGTCAAGCCCAGCCCTACCCGTTATGAATCCAGTCCTACACTCCACACACGCCAAAAGCTCCCTCCCAAGCCAACAAGCGTAAGCGCAGAATAGGACGGCCAGGACAGAGCCCAGTGCCATTGCTCAGTGGCATTCGCTTCGTACCGTCTCGTCCCGCCCGCTCCCGCTTCTTTCTATCCTTTCTTGAATAGAACGAGTCGCCCTCGTTCTCCGTTTTTGGATCATCCCCTCAGCCTTCAGGCAGCGAATAACTAAATCGCTGTATGACTCGACCCCGATTCAGTCTTGTTCCTCGTGGAAACTGAGACGAGACTATACGCTATCAGCAGGCCTGTCCTGAACCTGTCCTGACCTGGGCTGAAAGCTGTCTTTTCAACCCACCCAGAAGAACACACCCATCGTGTCCTGTCCTTCTGATGTGCCCTGTTCATCCTCTTAAAACAGGCCTCGTTGAGGGTCAAATCTGCTACTGATTTTGGCTCTTGTTTCTGTTCCTGCATCTCCTACATTACATTCCCATCCTACCTATCAATACAAGCTAAGGTCTTATTGCTGCATCTAATAATACCTAGCCACAACCCACTCTTCCCCAGCTCCTATTAAACCCTTCCACTCCCACTCTCTCCCCGCCTCGGTTCGCCTTGTGTCGTACTGTACATACATTCTTGGAGTGCATCGCCTCACAAGCGCAGCACAGAGTACCTAGCCTGCCTGGAATTCAATTACAGTCAGCCCCTCATATTACTCATACATTCATATTCATTCGCAACTACATTACACTTTTCAGCCTGGCGCAACATCAATCATATCTCGCTACGCAACGCAACACCGCACGGATTGCTTTTCTACGTAGCAATCACACAAACTCTATCAATTACTATAGACATTCTGTTCAGCCTGCCATCCATTCGTTTGCGTTTGGTTGGTCAGCTAGCATCTGAGGTAAACTCTTGCTCGGTTCTTCTGCCTGGTCCACCCACCGCTGTACGCCTTGGTTGCTTACCAACTTCACCTATGAAGCAGAGATAGCCAAACTTATGGCAGAACCTAGGCTCGGGCTCTCTGAGGTTGTCTCAGAAGAGCGCACCGAGCCATTTTCCCAATCCGAAATTGACGCCCGCTTCAAGGGGATTGGTGTTGAAGAACCAGTCCCTACTACTAGCTCTTCGCTTGTCTCGTTAGACGAGCTCCACGTCGAGGATCACCACCACAGGCAAGGCATCCGCATTCTATTTCGTCCCCTAGCCAACTTCCCCAAGTCGCGGTCTGTGAGCCCTGGTAGTGAAAGTTTACAGTGGCTCGCTCTGCGCGCCGAGGTGGCTTCACCAGAGCAGCCTGAGCACAAAGTTCTCGCTGTGACTCAGACCTCCAAAGATATCAAATTCACCGTCCGTATCCCCGGCGAGACTCAAGATGACTACCCAAGGCCCCCTTTGTGGTGCGAGCTATACTACGATCCCGCTAGTGACAAAGTCATCTTCTTGAACCGGTCAGACCTACCAATTTCCTTGTCAGGAGTGTCGCCGACGCCGCCGTCGAGCCCTTACAGTCCTTCGCATGTCGTCAACCCCGGGTCAGCTAAGGCTCTGAGGCCTGGAACATGGCGCATCACGCTTCGAGACATGGAAGTCCTCGACTTCCGAGTACTTGAAAAGCGCCCGGTGATACTGTATCAACCACAGCAACAGACTATTGTTGAGGATGTTCCCTCAGAGTCTAGCACCCCCACCGTGAACTCGAGCGGCAAGCGGGCCCTTTCTCCGGAGTATGACGAGAAGAGAGTGAAACGTCGTGTCTCAGACCCGAATATACCCGGTGACGACGGTGTTGTTATGTTCCTCAGGCCTTCCGCGGATCCCTTGGTTTTCTCCCTCCCAAATGGTCGCGAGAGCAAGGAGCTCTCCTCGGTGAATGGCCATCCTCTGCTGGACGCTGAAAAGGGTGAAACTGCTGCAATCTCAGGTGTCTGCGAAGTCGATGAGTACGAACTTACCAAGCGAGAGCCAATTGCTTCGACTTCCTTGTCTGCCGTGTACACAGCAACACACTCCCACGTACCCAATAACATCGTCACTGTCAAGGTACTCAAGACGCGCGTTGCTAACCCCAATGACAAGGCGCTCGTCCACGAGCGGACTGTCATCCGTCAGGCCGACATGTGGCTTCGTGAGTGTAGGGGTCAGGAGGATCTGCAGCACAAGTCGATTGTTCGTTACTATGGTGGTGATGCCCGATTCCTTTCCCTATACATGGAGCACATCGACGCAAAGGACCTCACATCCATGCCTCGATGGAGGAATAACACCAATGATGAGTTCATTGGCGACAGAAACGACGCTGCCAGGATCTTGGGGGACATCGCCGGCGCCCTCAACTACATCCACGGTCGCAAGCTGGTGCACAACGATATCAAGCCCGCCAACATCCTCTACTCGCCAGAGAGAGGTGCAGTCCTTTGTGACTTTGGTCTATCTACACCGGCCACTGCTACTAATTCGCCGACCGTTGGCGGAACACCGTACTACGTTCCTCCGGAATTCATTGGTCGAAAACAACGCGGTCCTGCTTCTGACGTCTGGGCACTCGGTGTCACTATGCTCTACGTGTTGCGCAAAATAACGTACCCTGACTCTCGTGCTCATCGACGACACCCGCGACCCCTTTATTGGTTGATCGCTGGGGTGAACAGTCCCAACATGCCACACAAGCAGTATGGAAATGGTCAACCCGCTATGAAGCAGATGCGAGATTGGCTTGCCGAGATCTTCGATGCGAGAAAGAGTCTGAATCCCAAGGACCGACTCGAGCGGATCGTTATGGAGATGCTATACCCTAACCCCAACCAACGTATCACTATGGCCAAAGTGGTACAAGAGTTGGCTGTCGAACAGGCTGCTACTCCTGCGGGATGAAGACCGCGTAAGGAGTGGCAACTGTTATCGACCATATGTGAGAGGATCTCACAAGAATAATCAATTGGTCACTGTCTGTCTTTTTTGGTTTCTGATTTCAGGACTGGAGTTTGGTGTTTTAGCGTTACATGCTGAATTTATATGAGTGCAATGGTGAGTAAACAAGCAACGCCCCCCCGGTTTGGCCAAGCTGACCAACCCAGATTGGATATACCCTGTTATTATTCTTTACGTTTTAATGCAACTCTTGTTTCTATATATTATACCAATTGCATTTTCATTTTTATTTTCTTCAATCATGCAAGTCATCATATACGGGGTCTGGAAACATCTTAGGGGTTCCTATAGATCAGCAATAAAAGGCTCCCAGTAGCTAGCCTGTAACTGCACGTTGGCAATGGCAATACAATATTTGTTCCACTCATAAATAATCACAGGTTTTGAAAGGCCGTGAATTTTCTATCATGACTACTGATTACACATCTGATTCCCCCTTTCTCATAAGGTCATCCATCTATAAGCCCAACGCCATCACAAAAGCGGCAGCAAGACCCACGACAGAAGTCATAACCACTATGTTCACACCCATGGTGCCAGCGGCGTTATCCTTACTATCTCCAGAAGATGTAGAGTTGGAGGAACTATCTTCCTCAGTTCCGTTGCCCTTCTGCTGCTTGATCTTGACGTAGTCCACATCGCCAGTTTTGTTACTAGGACCCTTTGCATTCTCCTTGAAGCGGATATCGGCACAGTTGTACAGGGCATTGCCAGTGTCACCAACCGTAACAACCTGGATACTAGCGATGTCTCCGTCCTTGGGCTTGACATCTGAGGGAAGCTCAAGCTTGTCGATGAAGAGAGTGCCCGAGTTTGTGGCGTTGAGGAACTCTGGAGTGAGAGAGATGTTGAAGTTGGTGGAGTTCTCGCCGAGGCCGAGGTTAACGAAGATGTAGGACCATTCGTGGTGAAGATCAAGGGTGAGAGCACCACCGTCGAGGGGCCAGTCAGTGAGATTCTTCTTGTTGAAGTCAACACGAGCACCTATTGTTTGTTAGCAGAGCATGCGATCGCAGGATATGAAATGACTTACAGGGTTGCTCCCACTGATTGTAGCGCTCCTCGCCCTCCTCACTGAGGGTGTCCGCACGCCAAGGAGGGAAGACAAGACCGAAGTGGGCAGAGACAGCCTGGACAGTAGCCAGGCCGAGAAGAGTCTTGAAGGCCAGCATCTTGATGGTTGAGATGGTAAGTGTGTTGCGGTGGAGGAGAGGGTGAGTAACAACAAACGGAAGCACAGCAGGCGCTTCAGCTGTCTTTATATGCACCAAGCACCTCAGTCATTCCAGGGTCCAGCTAATGTAACCGAGCTCTAGCTCTCTACATCTGGAAGCTGCTCTTGACCAAGCAATTATTGACTTAGCGTGAGTCAGTTTCGCAGGGTTGTGGCTGACTTCGCGTGATAGCCACTGCTGTGTCACTGGTAGCTTTACCGTTCAAGAAGCCGATGTCTCCCCCGGGCATTCGGGGTTGTGTGGGATTTTGAGGCTGCAGGTGGCCGGTTGACAACGGCCTTTGGCCGGAGCATGCTATATAGATGCATCTGCTGTGCGAATGTTGATCAATTCAGTCTGCTCGTGATGATACTACTATACAGCCTCGCGAACTCTCTTTTTCGGCCACAATAAGCTTAGAAACAAGGTTTCTTTAAGCATAAGATCCGGAGTCTGTACATGTTTCCCATCTGCCTGTCATTGCTTGTTGCCCCAATAAGGTCATGCTATGCGGGGGATGGCTGATAGAGAGCGAGTTTGAGATGATAATAAACTTGCTCAAATGGCCGCACCAACCCCTGTTAGGTAAGGCTGTTGTTTTTCTTTCTCAAGCTTAAACATGGATAATTAACTCAATTGACGCATTTGACGGCTCTTATTGGTGTGAATATTAGTGGTATGAATGATGTTATGTTGGTCTAGACTTTTGTGAACTTGTGTGCGGTGATGGGTTGTGTTGGTGATTGAGATTGAGGTTGTTCGAGGTGGCACAGGGTAAGTTGTTGCATGAGAGTGAAGTTGAGTATTACGACAGCGCGTGTTGACGAATATGGTATTCGGTTCAGAACGGACGAATATATAATGAAGAGAGGTAATTCCCGTAAAGCTATAGTAGGCTAGTAGTTGTCGATAGCTGTCAAGTTCTTGGTATCACTGAATCTAGTTTTGATACCTCTATCATCAATAGGAGTAGCTGAATTAGGATCAATAATGAAAAGTACTATAACTTACACGAAAAAATAATAAATAAACCGGCTCACAACAATATCCATAAGCTCATTTACATAACACCCATAAGGCTGAAAGTTGTTATTTTGTTTCAACTGTTGCTCGATGACTGATCACTACTTGCACTATATCTGGATAAGTCAAGTTTGATGGCTGGAATGATGGCGTCAAAAACCGTTGGTCCCCTAAAGGATAGGATTTAAAAATTCGACATAGGGCGATAAAATTACAAGTAAAGAGCAAACCTTACCTTCAAAGATCTACGTAGCACGAAATAACACGGCCATTACAGCTTCATGTAAGTGATATATTGTATTGCGTCACGTGCTCGCGCGCCTCAAGGCGTTCCTGCCGATAAGGATTTTCCAACCAAGGTATCCACTTTTCACCGATAAGATCGATGTTTCTCTGATGCTTCAACATTTGACTCGTCTCCCTTCCAAATCATCAGCAGCTACAATCATCAACCATGGATCCTGGACGAAAAGCCATGATCGCCGGACGACGGTCCCCTACCCGACGAGATGTGACATCCCCCAGACATGATCCTACCAACCGAATCACCAAATCCACTAAACCAAGTGGTTCCAAGATCAACTCCAAGTACTTGACTCAAGATGAGCAATCACGACAGTTTGTTGCCGATGAGGACAAGTTCGTACTGAAGCAGTCCAAGAAGAAGGCGGATATCCGAATTCGAGAAGGCCGTGCCAAGCCCATCGACTACCTGGCATTCAACCTAAGATATATCGATGCAGACCGCGATATCTTCGACGACGACGATGCTGATATCGAAATCGATGTTCCCGCACCCGGAGATGTTGTTGCCTCGCTTGATGCAGAGCAGATTGCCGAGCTGGAATCCGATATCGCCTCATACCACGTGCTTGAAACCAATGCGACCAACCGGGAATATTGGAGAGCGCTGCAGACCATCTGTAAAGATAGGAAGGCGAAATTAGATCCACATGGCCATGAGAGAAGGGTTGTAAGCAGTGTTTCAGACGACATCGACAAGATCCTTGCCCCCAAGACGCATGACCAACTGGAAGCCTTAGAAAAGCAGATCAAGGCGAAACTACAGTCCAACGAGGATATCGACACGGATTACTGGGAACAATTGCTGCGAAGCCTCCGAGTGTGGAAAGCTCGTGCCAAGCTGAACCAAGTATACGAAACAATCAAGGAGACTCGTCTGAGCCAACTCAAGGAGCGTGATCCAACCAAGGTCAAGGCATCGGGCCAGCCGACCTCTGCCCCCAAGGTGACATTTGGTTCGCAGCCAGTCGCATCAGCTTCAGAAGAAAAGGCGTCTCCTGCACCCGTTTCATCCTCAAGGCATGTGGGCACATCAGCCCCTCCAGGAACTGAGCGCTTTTCTCAGGTTGACAACGTGGACTTCTCACAGGCAACTAAGGCATTGTATGATCGAGAGGTTGCTAGAGGTGTCGACGAGAACGAGGAGATCTTCACCAGCGAAGAGGCTGTTACCACTACTAAGCCACAATGGGCAGACAAATATAGACCCCGGAAGCCACGCTATTTCAACCGTGTCCAGATGGGTTACGACTGGAATAAATATAATCAGACTCATTACGACCACGATAATCCGCCACCCAAGGTTGTTCAAGGTTACAAGTTTAACATATTCTATCCTGAGCTCATCGACAAGACAAAGGCGCCAACGTTCAAGATCATTCGAGAACATGGCCGCAGACGCGGAGAATCATTTGCTGCTGCTGGTGAGGAGGACACGTGCCTGATAAGGTTCATGGCAGGGCCTCCATACGAGGATATTGCATTCCGCATTGTTGATCGAGAGTGGGATTATAGCGCCAAGAAGGATCGAGGCTTCAAGAGCTCATTCGACAAGGTATGTTCATCTGGATCCCTCCACTTCACTTCACGTGGTAGGGCCGAGTCTTTGCCTCTGCATTAGCCGCCCTGAGTTCGTATTGCGACGATGGCTTGGCCGTTGGATGAACTGCACTTTATGCAGCCCAGACCAGTCTGCGTTGGTGACAGCCTACTTGACCCATGCTATTAGACGCCATCGCCACTCCATTACATGCTCATGAACCCACAAAGCTAACCGTGCATACTCAACAGGGTATCTTGCAGCTGCATTTTCAGTTCAAAAAGGTATGACTCCGAAACCATATTTGTTGGTCCACCCTGTTCGATTAGGCTAACACGTTTCTCCAGATCTACTACCGGAAGTAGTCCCGGGATCGATCACCCACTATCGATTGAAGTTATGTTGGTCCTCGCCTAGTAAAAGCCGAACTGGGCTATCACCTAATGAGAAGGGGAGGAAAGCCCGTTTCTGAATCTCCCGTTCCGTTGAGTTTGAGTATCGGAGAGGACAAAAATGCACGTTTTCAAGCGGGAGGGCGGACCAATCCGCCCTGCCTGATAAGGCTTGCATTATGATTGTTGTTAATAGCTTTCGACATGTCTACGCTACCCGGGTCATGTCCATTGATACATCTGTACTACCTATTTGAGGGTTTCTAATTCGGGATTCAGAGCGGGGATTGGTAGAGAACTAGAGTGGGCAAAGGTTGAGTCGATGCTGGAGTAGTGTCCTGCTACCTAAGATCTATTCGACCATCGACCCGACCTGACCGCCCAGTTCAAGGACCTGCGCAGACCAGGCATGAAATTACATCTTATGTCCCTATTCCACACCTTCCTAACAGGCAGACCTTCAAGCCAGCA